GGAGGCTGAGGTGGGTGGAGGCTGAGGTGGGTGGAGGCTGAGGTGGGTGGAGGCTGAGGTGGGTGGAGGCTGAGGTGTGTGGAGGCTGAGGTGGGTGGAGGCTGAGGTGGGTGGAGGCTGAGGAGGTGGAGGCTGAGGTGAGTAGAGGCTGAGGTGGGTAGAGGCCTGAGGTGAGTGGAGGCCTGAGGTGGGTGGAGGCCAGAGGTGAGTGGAGGCTGAGGTGGGTRGAGGCTGAGGTGGGTAGAGGCCTGAGGTGAGTGGAGGCTGAGGTGGGTGGAGGCTGAGGTGGGTGGAGGCTGAGGTGTGTGGAGGCTGAGGTGGGTGGAGGCTGAGGTGGGTGGAGGCTGAGGAGGTGGAGGCTGAGGTGGGTGGAGGCCAGAGATAGGTAGAGGCCTGAGGTGTGTGGAGGTTGAGGTGAGTAGAGGCTGAGGTGAGTAGAGGCTGAGATGGGTAGAGGCCTGAGGTGGGTGGAGGCTGAGGTGGGTAGAGGCCTGAGGTGGGTGGAGGCCAGAGGTGGGTGGAGGCCAGAAGTGGGTGGAGGCTGGGGTGGGTGGAGGCTGGGGTGCTGCTGGACATCTAGCGTTCCACCGAGGTCCATCGTGCTGAAGTTGGGAACTGGAATCAAAGTGTTGTTGCTGTTAGGAAGGACGAGTGGCCTCATACATATTGACCTGGCAGACCTCCAAATATGTCACTCAGTGAGAAAATGGGCTTATGATTCACGGGTGTGATCGGGGCCTGTCATGGCCGCCATGGCCTCACTGGGACAGGGAGGCCTAGGGCTGGAGGGGCGGGGGTCTTCATTCCTCTTTCACTCCGTCCTCCCCCACTGGCTGCTCCTGGGGCCAGGCTGACATCTCCTGGGAGCCAGATGGGCGATGGGCTCTGCTGTCCAGGSTCTGGGCTGGACAGCCACCTCCCAGCAGGGCCAGGAGACAGATTTACCAGGGCTTCCAAAGGCACGACCAGCCCTTTAATTCAGAGACGCGTTCCTGGCCCGGCTGGACCCTGCCCAGCAGCGGCCACCTCACTCCCCGCACTCTGGGCTCACAACACCTTCTCGTGGGGATCAACAGGTCTGGAATCTGGGACGGCAGCCGGGTGCCACCGAGACCTCTCCTGCCTCTCCTGTCCTCAGCATTGGGAGAGAGAGCTGGAGGCCCCGAGGGAGGAGGACAGGGGTCCGTTTGCTGGGAAGCTATGAAGGCTGGACTCTCCGGCAGAGACCCTCAGAGGCCGAGAGGCCGGGCACCCTGGGGGGTGGGGGACGCTGTGGCCTGGGTGCCTCAGGCAGCTGAGAAACGCCCAGTTCCCTAAGGTCAGCTTCTCTGTGGCAGAGATGGCTGAAGGGCCCCCTGCAGTCAGGAGCCTGGACGTGCAGTCCTGGAGCCCTGGCCCTGTCTGGGAGCAGCAGAAACTGATGCCTGTCMGAGTTGGGGAGGAGTGTCCACCTTCCGCAGCAGTCCATTGCTGGCCAGGCCCATCCCCAACCGCAGGAGGACGTCTCTTGGCATCCCCAGCTGCCCATAGGTCCCAGGGTGGTCCCTGGACCATGGCCCCTTCTTGTGGGCAGTCTCAGCCTTGGGTCATGTCCCTGCCCCAGGACTCCTCCCTCCACTACCCCAGCAACACTGGGCCCCTCTGTCCAGCCTTCCCACTCCCCGCAGTCATCGGGACYATGCCCAGGAGGGACTCCCAAGGCCCAGCCCTGTGTAGCCTGCGGCAGTGCCCCTCCTGGTTCTCCTGTTCCAGGGCACTTTGGGCCCCGTTCCAGACGTGCTGTTCCCAGAACCCCAGCGGGTCAGACCTGGAGAGACCCTGTGGGGTCCGCCCTGGCCCTCCTCCCCTGAAGGCCGCAGGGAGGGTCTGGGACCTGCTCYATCAGGGGTCTTTCTAAGTCACCGTGGCTCTCACTCCCAAGTCTGCCTGTTCGTGTTCACTGATTTCATGATATTTAAGTCCTTTATTGAGCTAACAACATGAGCAGAACCTGTGGGTTTGGGAACGAGTGTAGGTGACACTAGAAGACGTCCCGCCCACTCCTGGAGCAGGGGCAGTGCCTCCCGAGGACCCAGGCCCGGGTCTCAGCAGGTTTGGGGGGAGTCTGGCACAGTACTGAAGTGGGCCAAAGCCACTGGAATGGCATGTCCTGTGATGCAGGAGGGGCAGCAGGGGGCAGCTGAGGGGCCTCTGGGCTGGAACCCTTGCTAGCTGGAYGAAGGCAGAGAGCCACTCTCCACCTCAACTGCTCAGGCCCTGGACACCAGGCTCTCTYGGGAGCCCAGGGACACAGCTGGGCAAGAGGGCCACCTGCCAGGATGGAGGACATAGGACGGAGTGACAGGCTAGGGGATACTGGGGCAGCAAGGCCTGCAGAGGACGCTGCCTCAGCCCCAGGGAGGTGCAGCTCTTGGCTGGAGAGGGCAGGGCTCCGAGCAATGAGCAGGCCCCAGCACTGACCCTGGACACACTCCACAGAGCAGGAAGGGAGGAGGGCCGGGGGAAGAGTTGCAGTGAGACCTGAGTCTCCCAAGAGAGCAGGTGGCCCTGTGGGGCACTGGCCTGGGCATCTGGGGGCTGCAAGATCCAGGCCACACCTGCTGTTTCCRGGGTGGGCGGGAGGGGGCGCCAGAGACCTTATCTTTGCCACGCTGCTGAGGCCGCCAGCTGGCGCCTTCTCATTATCACTAGAGGGTACAGGGCAGCCTTTGTCCACCCAGATGGCCTTATGCAGCCCAGGCATTTTCTTACTCCAGACAGTGGACCTCCTGAGGCCTCTGATGTCCCCATAGGGAGGGCCCTGCAGGGACAGGGGTTGGGACAGGGAAGACCCCAATCCAGGGAGTGGTGGTCAACCAGGCTTCAGAGCAGTTGCTGGACAAATTCCAAACCCACCGGTACCAGGGTCCACCGCCGAGTTAGGATTCRCGCGGGGAGGTGGACACGCGGTATTTCAAGCTGCCCTGCTCGTTCCCACGTGAGCCAGAGGCACAGATGCTGACCACCCTGCTGAGGATGGACAGGGAACAAGCTGGAAACGCAGCCCACGCTGGGCTCACTCAGAGCTCCGAGGGGAGGGGCCGGTGGCACCTGCACTTTGTCAGGTCCCCCAGGGCCTTCAGCCTGGACCCTGCTGCGCCTCACCACCCCAGGTGTGCTCCGGGCCCTGCAGCTTGGTAGTGAGGCCGAGCACCCCCTGCTCCACCACCAGTCAGAACCTGATTTCAACAGAATCCCTGGAGATCCCTAAAGATGGGGACATCTCTCTCCCGCCCAAACCAGAACACACGGGGGGGGGCAAACCCCCTCCAGGACTTTCTTGGCCCACTGCAGGAGAGCAGGGGTGGGGGAGGACCAGTGGATGGGGCAAGGGGTGTAGAGGGCAGGGCCAGTCACAGGGAGCTACTGCTGCTGTCTAGACCTCCTGACACGAGATAAATYATCTACAATACGCACAGAACGCATGTGCACCTGTAGTCCCCCACCACCAAACACCATCCCTGTCCATCCTCCTAGACTTTTGACKCGGTCCTCTATCAGGAACAGAGTCGTGAAGGTACAGCGACTGCTGTCGGGTGTGCTTTTCCTAACTCATCCTGGGATGCCATCTCAGCAGGGTGGGAGCCATGGCCGCGGGCAGCTCTCTCCTCTGACACTGGAGGCCCGGGCCTGTCCCATGCAGATTTCCCTCTGTGTCCAGCTGTTGTAATAAAACCAACCATGAGCGCATCCCCGTGACGAGTCCTGTGTGTTCTTTTAGTGAATTGTGGTTTTGGAGACCCCAGAGCAGCTGCCCCCAAGAGAACCTATTACCTCCTGTAGCCACAGGGACCAGGTTTCTGAAAATGAAACCCCAAGTCTAATCTGGTGGGTGTCTGCATTATCATGCAAGTTGTGGGTCTCTGGGTAAATTTAGGGCATTATTAGAGAAAGAATGGGCCTCAGCCATTAGGATGGGGATCTGTGGGCAAATYGGGGTGGAGCTGGGGATCTTTAGGTGCAGAATCCCAAAACACGTGGGTGAGCAAGTTTCCCAGCACCCCTGAAGCACCCTGGGGTGGAGAGGAAAAACAAAGGAAGYAGTGTCCCATGGGATGGCAGACCTCGCGGGCAGGGCCAGGAATCTGCGCTGACAGGAGAGGCAGGGTGGTCTCGGCACTGTGGTGGTCTGTGCAGAGGGGTGCATTCTCATGGCTCAGGACCCCCTGGCATTTGCGCTGGCATCCCTTGGGCTGGGACACTCTCCCTCCCGACTAGWGACAGGCTCTGCAGAAGCCCAAAAGCTCTGGTTTGGAGACAGGTCCAGCTCAGCCCCACACTTTCTGCTGTGACTTTGCTCACAGTCATTCTGTGACTCCTGCCAGCTGGACTGCTGGGGCAGCTCTGGGCTCACCCACATTACCCCAGGACAGGAAGCTTCCATGGGTCCCAGTGGCAGATGCCCGCTCTCTTGTGGGTTTGTTCCAAGTGCCAAGGTTGAATCTCAGTCCTGAATGCTCTAGAAACAGACTGCACAAGGATGCTTTTCTCTCAATTTGATCTTGGATCCAAGTCTCACAAGTTGATCCCGTGACTCTGCTGCCCGCAGGCTACAAAAGCCCACAGTCCTCTGGCTGGGAATGAGATATTCAGTTTGACAGTTCAGACAGGTGACGTTTCCTTCCTTGTCCCCAGTCCCTGTATAAAGAGGAAGTTTTGAGCTGGCAGCGACACATCCAGGCTGCACGGCTGGGCTGAGCAGACGGAGGGAAGGTAAAGCCTCTGGGGACCTGGGACTGTATCCGAGGGCAAGGAAGGCAGACTCTTAAGTAATCAGAATCAATGAAGCCAACCAGGTGGGGGCTTCATGGGAGAATGACGGCTCRAAACCACTGAAGTCAGTCACTGGGCAGACACTCGCTTCCCAGGGTGGCAGAAAGGCTGGCTCTGGTGCACAGTGGTCTCGCCCTCTGGGCTCCTGCAGGTGGACCTGAGGAGTCGACTGGCTGCAACTGGGGACGATGGAGGCCTGCTGGATGCTGGGGCTGGCCCTCTGCCTCCTGCTGGGGCCTCTTGCAGGTGAGGGGCCACCCTGGGACAGACCTCTGCCCTCCGGTGCTCTCCCCTCCATACTGCGGTCCACTCAGCAGTGTGGTCAGGCCTGGGATGCTTGGCTGATGGCCTCCCCTTCCCTTTGCAGGGGCCAAGCCTGTGCAGGAGGGCGCAGGTAAGCTCTTCCTGGCCCTTTCTTCACTGACATCAATAACTGGGTGGGGTGGAAGCAGCGGTGGCTGGGGCCAGGGCTTCTTTACCAGACAGACATGATGGGAAGCCTGGCTCAGCTGCGAGGAGGTGGGTCACTGCCRGCAGGCCCTGCCCAGCAGCCTGGGAACACACCTGGCCAATGAAGCCCCAAAATTCCCACCCTCAGGCCTGGGATTGGTCCGGGGCCCTCCCTCAAGTTCAAACACAGGTATTATCTGGGTGTCTTTGACCAAACTCTAGGACCAGGAAGTTCTGCTCTCCTCTGAACCCCTCCCAGGACACTGCCCAAGCCCCTACAATCCTACCAGCCAGCTCCTCCCAGTTCAGCACCTCCCCTCTCTCCCTCCCCTCCCCTTCCTCCTCCTCCACCTCAGGTCCTCATCCCTCCCCTCTCTGACTCTTCCTCTGTCCCTAGACCTGGCACCCTTAAGATGCAGGGACACTGGCCCCTGTTCCTAGGATGATGAGGGGCAGCCTGGGCCCTGCTCCAGGCCAGAAGGCCCCACCACTGCAGGTGCTGCTGGGCTGTCCACCTGCCCCAGAGGGGTCTCCAGGCCGTGGGCCGCCCCTGAGGTGGCCTCCTGTGTCTCTCAGACCCCTATGCTGAACCTCCGGCCCTGCCCTACTGGCCCTTCTCCACCTCTGACTTCTGGAACTACGTGCAGTACCTGCAGAGCCTGGGCGCCTACCCACAGCTGGAGGACCTGGCCCGCACCTTCTTTGCCCACTTCCCCCTGGGGAGCACCCTGGGCTTCCACGTCCCCTACCAGGAGGACTGAGCAGCACCCAGCCTGACGCCTGCCTGGCTGCACTGCCCTTGCCTGGGGGTGACCCATAGCCATGGTGGGGTGGGGGGTCTGGTGGCTTCACACCAGTAAACCTCCCACTGAAGAGACACCACAGGCCATGGGGCGCCACAGGCCAGGGACACACTCTGACCTACCCCACAGCTGCACACAGTGCCTCCACTCTATTGTCTCGCCAGCTGACCTGGCTGGCTCTGATCCCTGGGGACTCTGCTTTAATAAATGTCTGCACACTTTCATCCACGGGGAGTCGCCTCTGAGTCACCCCCTCCTCCAGTTCTCTCGATGACCCTCAGATTGCCGGTGAGGAGACTGAGGCAGGAACAGAGGCTCGGCCTGAATCGTTAAAGCCATTCAGCTGGTCAGAGGAGCTGGTTCCCGCCCCAGCAGGGGACACGGAGTTGGGCAGCAGTCAGCCCAGGCCAGCTGTCCACACTTCACACACTCCTGAGAGCAGCAGGGAAAGAGGACACGTGAGCCCAGCTGTGAGGGGAGTCAGGGCCCAGGCTCAGGCTCCGTGGGAGGGTGGACAGGCAGCGCAGGAGTGCCTCAGGTCCAGCCCCAGTGCGGGGAGACCCGTCTGTGCAAGGTGTGCGAGCCACGAGGACCGTGAGGCTCACACCAGTCAGGGAAGAGAGCAGCCAGCGGCAGCCCCCTCAGTGCCTCAGGGGACACACTCTGACCTGGCATCTGAGGCTCCTCCGCCCTGAACCCAGTCCCTGTCCACTCAGCCCAGGCTGGCCCCTGTCCAGGCCACAATACCCCGACATCTCTGCTCTGTCCCTTGGCCTCCACAGCCCCTCCCAACCTCCATGTCCACCTACTCCTGAAAGTTAAGGAAAAGATGATGCAAGGACACTAACAGGGAGTCAGAGACTCCATTCAGGACTACCACGTCAGGGGCCAGGGCCTGTGGGGCCTCCCAATGGGAAAGACTGCGTCCAACTCCAACAGCAGCAGCAGTGGGGTGGACAGCAAGGAGCAGGCTGGGTGATGGACGGAAAGTGACTGAAGGTGGCACAGTGGGTCTTGCTAAACAGGACTTGCGGAAGGAGGCCAGGGAGCTCAGATGCCCACGGGTGTGAGGGTGGAGGAACCCCATCAGATGCCGGGGTGATCACATCTGGCTGCGCTGGCTTAGCAGGGCTCTTTGCTAACACAGAGCTGGGCCTCAGACAGGAGGCGGCTGCACTCTGGACCAAGTGGAGTCCAGGCGCCTCCTGCTCCCTCTSGGCTCTGGTCTCTCCCTCCTTTCCTTCCCTACYCCCTTTTCTCCGTCACAAATTGTGGCAAAACAATACAACATGAAATTTCCACCTTAACCGTATTCAGTGTCACCAGGCACGTTCCCGGCGCCTCCAACGGGACACCGTGTCTTTCGGTGACCGGCTTATTTCAGTAACCCGATGTCCTCGAGGCTGGCCCTCGCTGACCGCGGGGGAACGTGCCTCCTGGGTGGCACTGCGCCCAGGGGACAGGCCCGTTCCGTTGGTGCCTTCGCCCCCGGCGCGGCGCTCGCAGGAGTCCGCTTCCCACCGGGGACGCGCTCCGGAGGGGACTCGGGGCGGCCCTGGGCGGTATTCCGAGGGCTCGGGGATGTCCTCCGGTCGCCGCGAGGTCCCGCCTCCGCGGGCAGCCCCAGAACGCGGACGCGGGAGGCGCGCGGCGGCTGTGAACGTCGCTGCGCGTCCCCGAGCCTGGCGTCCGCATCCTCCTCCGGGAAGAGCTGCCGTGCCCGGCCCGCCCCACGTCGGGCTTCGACGTCCAAGAGCTCCCCGCTCCCTCCACCCGTCGGCTGCGACGCAGCCTCCGGCTCCCGGCGCCCTCCCCGGGCACGCAGGTCGGCGAGACCAGCCCAGCTCCCGAGGGCGAGGCAAGGAGCCCACCTTGGCTGACCGGGGCCCGCGGCGGGCACCACCGAGTCGCGGTCCTCCAGCGTCTAGACCTGCCGGGTGGGAGCGCCGGAAGTAGGCGCGGCGAGCCGGAAGTGGGCAGAGCGCGACGGCCCGAGATGAAGCCGGCGGTGGACGAGATGTTCCCCGAGGGCGCCGGTCCCTACGTGGACCTGGACGAGGTGAGGTGGGAGCGTCGGCGTTCTGGCCTAGCGCAGGGGCGGTTGCCGGAAGGCGGGAGCTGGTTCCCCGGCTGGCGACGCCCGCGCGTCTTGGGGACGAGCCTGGCCGGGGTGCGCAGCTCCTGCCTGGCAGGGGCCCGCGGGGTGGGTGCCGGCGGGAGGAGAGAACGCAGGGCCAGACGGCGGAGCGGCGCGGAGCCGGCGGGTCCTGCGCATCCCACTCCCGGGGCCCCGAGCCCAGCTCCTGTCAGGGTTTAAGGCCCCTGCGGGGGGCCTCAGGCTCCGATTTGCCAGGCGGCTGGAAAATGGAATTAGAAAGGAAACTTGAAGAAGGCCTGGAGAAGGCCGGTGGGAGCAGGGAGAACCCCAACCCAGGATTTATGGTGGCGTCTGCGTGGCTTCCTGCAGTGTTGGGATGGGGAGGCTGGCTGAGAAGGGGGGAGGCTGGCTGAGAAGGGGGGAGTCTTGGAACCTTGGCAGCAGCCTGACACGGAGCACGGGAGGCGTTTGGCACTGAGAGTTGAGCACACACCTTCGAGGATGTAGGGACCAGAGCAGGAACAGGCTCCTGTGGCCAGCCATCCAGACGGCTACCATCAGAGGACACTGCACTGATCCTTCCCAGGCGACTAAGCAACGTGCAGAATCCTGAGTGCATTCTGTTGCCCAGCGGTGGCAGTGACCTGATTTTGCCACCAGGAGGAGCTTCAGCTGTGGGAGGCTCTGAGGGCACACCAGGGCCAGGGCAGGTCAGCTTCCAAGGGAAATGGTTGCATTCTCAGAAGGGAGGGGTCCAGAATAGGGGGTTGCACATGCTTGTGGTCTCTGTGCAGTGTCCAGGAGGGGACTGGAGGCTGAACTTGAGGTCCACAGATGAGGAGTGGCACTCAGGGCAATGGAAATTCTCTTTTTGAAAGAAAGGGAAAAATTAAGGAATGTAGAATTTTAAAAACGTCTCCTTGAATTCCCCCTTCACACACATTCTTTATTTGCAACTAAAATTCTTAACACCACCCTGAGTACTTGCCTGTCACCCCTCACCCTCTTCCTGTTCCCTGGAGGTATGGGGTGCTATGACAACTCAAAGCTGTTTTGGGGAAAGAGCTCACATAACTTACCTTTCACTCCTCAGGCAGGAGGCAGCACTGGACTCCTGATGGACTTGGCAGCCAATGAGAAAGCAGTCCATGCAGACTTCTTTAATGGTAAGGGTGCCGGGATTCTGCATGCCTGGTTTTATTTAAAAGTTTTTCCTGTAAGTTAATACAGTGGGACGATCTTGTGACCTGAATAATTAGGATCATGGAACAGTGAAGCCTAGACACTGCCGTTCTCAGAGTACAGTGCAGAAGCGATCACACTGGCTGTCGGCCACATCTGGAGAAGCATGAAATTGCTCCCTGTCTCACATGGTAGGGCCTGAGATTGAGTACGTGGCATGAATGTTAGCACATGCTAACAGCCAGTTGTGGCTGGCCTGTCACCCTGGACAGGTTCTCTCGGGTGGCTGTACTCTCCTGATCTTCCCTCCCTTCTTCCTTTCCTATACTTGTCTGCCCTTGGCTGTCTTTGCAAGGAGCAGCCACTCTCCAGCTTCAGCCCTTCCCCGTCTTTGAGTCGGGACGAGGACACACTTCATCTTGTTTCAGAACTTTTCATGCTAGCTACCCAGGAAGTTTTACCAAACACACACCGAAAGCTGACCTCTCAAGAACCTTCAGGTGTGCTAGAGGGCATGTTTCTCTTATTCCTCTGGTTTCTGAAGGCTTTGTCCATACAAGTTATTTGGGCCCTTGCCAAGGGTTCAAACAGAGGAAACACAACATACATTTCCTGCTCAGAAGGGTAAGTGAGATTTCTCTCCTTTTTCTGTACCRCTGTAATCACATGATTTTTGTCCCTACAAAGAACTTTTGTTACTCGCTAGTAGCAGCTGGGGTGTGGTCTGCCTTTACAAGTGATCCCTGAGTCCATGCTGATTTGGCTCAGTGTCCAGGAGGAGGAACCTTGCTGCTAAATAAGGTGCAGTCTTTCCAGGGGCGCTGGCTGCCACCAACTGATATCAGACATCCAATAACCTTGGAGCTGAGCTTTGAGAGCCTCAGTAGCCTTTCTCTAAATTCTGCCCAAGGGAACACAAGGTGCGGGAGGGTGGCCTTCTAGAGCTTCTTTGGTGAGGAGGGTGGCTTACGCAGGGCACCTGGGATTCTCACCAGGCAGGGCCGTCTCATTCCTAGTGCTGGCACCATTAATTCACAGTTCAGTGATCTTCAAAAGTCCCTTTTGTCCTTTGCTAGCCTCTTAAATTAGAGATGATTGACTGTGTTCAATGGTCAGTGCTGAGATTTCCAAAGACGGCCCTTGGATTCCAGTGAGAAGGATTTCCAAAGATTTCCAAAGACAGTGGATTCCTGTGCACCTGCCTCTGGGCTCAGGAGCATGTCAGAGTCCTCCTGCAGGTGCTGCCCGTCTTGGGTGGTGGCTGTTGTTGTCCACGAGGAGCCTCTGGCTTCAGTTGAGGTTTCTCCCACAGCCCTTTGGCTCGTCAGCTGGGTGGACTTTGGGATCCATTGTCTGCTGGGCAGTGGGTCCTCACGATGAGTGTGCCTTGCTCTCTTCCCTGGCTTGTTTCACAGTGCAGTGGAGGAGTTAGACGAGGTGGCAGGCAGGGACAGAACTGCACCCTGAGGGCTGGGTGGGATTGCCCTGGAAGGTGTCTCCTTGTGAAGATGTAGAGCAGAGGGATGCTCTGGGGAGAGGGAAAGAAGTGTCTAGAGCAGTAGCACCACACAGAGAGGTCAGTGGGCAGCRAGTACTCCCTCTGTGGCCAGAGGAGCTGCCCTTCCCCAGAAAGGCCAGTGTGGGGCCTGCCCCACCGCTCTGTCTGACCACATCCTCAGGCCAGGGCCCACAGGAGGGGCTTAGTTCTTTCTTTTCCCATGGTGAAGGGGATGCTGGCATGAGGTCCAGAACTTGGAAGGTGCACAGAGGAAAACAGAAGGACAAATTGGCCCTGGCTGTGGTCACCCAGCCAGTGCCTTGGGTGTTTATCCAGCTGCTTCTGGCAGGAATGGGGCTTCGTTGTGTCTTGAACTCACCTCTTCCAGGCCCCCTAAGGCCATTCTCAGTAGCACAGTCCTTCTGCCACCTTTCTGTAGCCCCTCCGCATGTCACCCTTAGCACAGGTGTCAGTGCAGCTGTGAGGTGGTTGTCAGTGTGCAACACCTGTGTCTTCCTGCGTAAGAGCAGGTTAAAAGCACATAGAAACCACACTGTCCCCTTGAATTGTGAGCCCTGTTAGCTAAAGCTGAGCATCTGTCGTGGGGAAAGGCCTTTGCCACATCATTTACTGTCTGTGTCTTCAACTACCTGTAATTAATTTTGAAGTGGGTTTCTGGGATGCTTTCCCTATGTGCCCATTAATGTGGGGTTCTGTTTACATAGATTTTGAAGATCTCTTTGATGACGATGATGTCCAGTGAGTCCAGTCCAGCTGCAC